CAGCAAATGGCCTGGTGGGTGACAACTTGCTGTCACCGCATGGGGACAGAAGCACCACTGTGACCAGCAAGCTTGAGCCTTGCTTCCGTGGGTCCTTTGTGAAGAAAATGATGCTATCTGAAAACCTCTACAGTAGACGGGCTACCCAAGATGTCAGGTCCTAATCTCTGGGCCCTGTGACTGTGACCTTATTGGAGAAAGGGTCTTTGCAGATGTGATTAAGGATTGTGAGCTTATCCTGGATTACCTGGGTGTGCCCTAAATGCCAACACCTGTTAGAGAGGCAGAAGGGGATTAGACACACACAGAAGAGGAGGCCTGGGACCACAGAGGCCGAGACTGGAGTGATGCAGCTGCAAGCCCGGGACTGCCGGAGGCTACCAGGAGCTGGGCTAGGCAAAGAACGGGTTCTCCCCAGAGCCTCTGACGAAGCGTGACCCCGCCAAGACCCTGATTTTGGATTTCTGGCCTCCTGGACTCAGAATACATTTTTGTTGTTGAAGGCACCAAGTTTGAGGTCATTTGTGACAGCAGCCTCAGGAAACGAAGACAGTGCCCAAACCCAGGTAGAAGCGGCTTCATGTCCTGCTTCAGAAGCGTCCTGCCTGGTCAGGACTTGCAATTATCAGAGCAAATAATAGCAAGCAAAGTATCCGTTTATTCTTCTAGGGAACGCCCTTGCATGACGGGCGGGCTGATGCTTCCGATCAGAAGGACGGAGAAGCCCCTCATGAGCGCGCATGCGCGCGTGTCACTGAACTCCTTGCCCAAGCTTTTCCAGGAATGCCACCATTTCTGAAGGGAATTTGGGCGCCCCCACCCCTTCTCAAATGCTCAAGTATTGCTTCACCTGACAAACACAAATGCATAGCTCTCTTCCCAGCCCCCAGCCCCTCAACCTTCCCAGGACCATCGCCAGGCTTCACCGGGAGGTAGGGGGTGGGAGCATTCTTCTGGTGGAGTGCCAAATCTCTCCCTGTGCCAGCCAACACATTTGCAACTACAGATGACTGAAAACTCAGCTCGAGCTAGATAAAAAAAATAAGGTCCACTGTCTGAACCATTCAGTAAGTCAGGCTTTGGGGTCTTTGTATCTAGTGCGGGCAGTGTTACCAATCACCCAGTGTCTGAGCTAGGCTCCTTTAGGACAGTGAGATGGCTGCTAAAATCCGGGGGCTGGGGTGGACACTTTTCTGCACCTTTGCAGAGAAAAAGAGCTTTTTTTTCCCTCCAAAAACTGAGTACACATGCTGGGCTCCATGGTAACAGGCATGTCAGCCACAACCCACCTGGTCATCATTTTTGCCCAGGGAATGTCCCATCTGGTTTGCAGGGCCTAGGTTAGCGGTTCATTCTGGAACAGTCTCTGCGGTCAGGTGTGTGAGTCAAGCGTCTGACCTCAGAGCGGGAGTTGAGGTCACTCCCCCACCTGGACTGTGTGGCTGACGCCCTGGGCACAGGGCGGGAGTGAAGCAGCTCAGATAGAAAGTTCCCGCAGGTATCAATCATCCTGTTCTAATCAGGAGCCAAATAGGCACAGTTTCAAAATGAAGCGCCTGCTGTGCAAGTGTCCAGGGAAGTATAAATAGAGGCTCCTCCAGCAGCCAGCAGCCTCGGTGAGTCTCGGCCGCGAGCACACCTCTCCTTTCCTGCCGCCCGGGGTCCCCCAGCCCGTCATCATGAGGACCCCCTACTTGCTGCTCCTGGCCGTCTTCCTTCGCTTTGCTCAGGTTGCCCCAGGTGAGCCCTGAAGCCAGGTTTGGGGCAGATATGGGGCCTCATGTCCAGGGAGTGGGGACTAAGCCATATTTGGGGACCGGCTCATGAGCTATAAGAAAGAAATCTGAGCATCAAGGAGAGTGTCAGCCAAAGAACCAATGGTCTGGGGAAATTTTTATCTTTTTCTTAACTTATGAAACAGCCTCTTGGCATCTCTTCAGGCTCAGAATAAGGGTTTCTTCCCTGGAATAAGGACCCAGTTAGCAGGTGGAGATAAAATAAAGGTGCTACGCCAGGCTTTCAGAACAGCAGATGTGGTCAGCGTGGGAACAGACCTTGGGAATAAAGCGTGTAGGAGAGCGGTCCCCCACCCCCAGCCCCGGGCTCATTTGCCATCTGATTTCCCTGCCTGGGTGAGAGCCCAGGACACAGGAGTAGCCGGACCCAGGAGCCAAACCCCAGTGCTGTTCTCAGCGCCCACACTTAGGTGTGCCTCCAGACAAGTCGCCGAGTTGTCCTGTGTTCCGTAGGCCAGGAATACAGATTCCCCCAGTAATGCAGAGAGCAGGAGGGGCCTGGCAAAGCAGCAGAGACATTTCAGGGGGTGCTGCCATTTCTGTTATTCTGGCCCTTTTAATTCTGTGTTCCCAGACTGGCCTCCCCACTGTGACAGGCCAGTTGACAGCACCTCTGGGGGCATGGGTGCAGCACAGCGGCCTATGGGACTGAAGGCCCCTGGCCTCTGTGTAGCATGTGGTGGTTCTCATCAGGCTGCATGAGGTTGCGGACCCCCTTTGCCCTGGAGCAGGGGATGGACGCTGGGGTGAGTTCAGGGCCAGCATTTGGGGCAGACATGTCCGTACTTGGCCTTCAGAGTACAGGCTGTCCTGCCAGCCAGCCACCACAGGCAGCAGTGGCAGCAGAGCCGTCACGGGCTCCCCTGGCTTTCAGAGAGCGGTCCCTGAGGGGCAGCCACCCTGCTGTCTGCTCAACGCACATGTCATAGCCCGGCCTCCACAGTGAAGACTATTCCCAAATGAGCAAGTAGTATCTACTGTGCTCTCCACAGCCCCCTTGAGTCCGTACAGAAAACCCTCAGTGCTCCCAGAGTGGCTCCCATGAAAATTTTCTTTAAAGACCTTCTCTCTAAATAGATGTGTGATCAGGTGTTTACACTGTAGCCATGCCCGACTCTCTACTTTCCC